AAGGCACATTTTTTTTTTTTTTTTTTTTAACTGCAGGCTCCATCTACTTGTGGGGAACTTGACATGTTGAAAACCAGGTTCAGCGTCCCTAAAGAAACATATGTTAAAAAATAAGGTAGGTACCCTGTAGTTGAATACAAGGTACGTAGGGTACCTTCTATTCAAAAATTTAACAACGATTTTTTATAACCCGTTTTTCAAAGGTAACTTGAATACAAGGTACGTACCTTGTTTTCGGGTTAAGACGGTAACCTTAAAATAATAGTAAAAATAATCGAGGGTCCTTCCGGTGCTCAGCCGAGCAACTAAAGCTAAAGTTTCGCAGGCTGGGGATTCGGTGATTTCAAAAGCAACTTTTAAAAACCGTTTCTGACATCTCTTCGAAAAAAAATTGAGCTTATACCTTCAAGAGGTTTACAACGTTTGATTCTGACAACAAATTATATGACATTTTATCGGTCGATTCCTGTATAACAAATTAAGGTAGGTTTTAAGCAAAACACACAAACCGAGGGTTGTGGCGGTGCAAAGACTCTTGAAAGTACATTTTCAAAAGTGGTGTGTCGAGACCCTGACATGGTTGGCTTACTCCCCTTGTTCGGTATTAGTACAGTCTTGACCATCACTGTTGTGCGTGTGCATGGTGTGTGGGAGAGAACTGATCATAGACACTGTTGGTACTTGATTGGTGGTTGGGGAAGTAGATGGGAGGTGCATCTACTGCCAAAAGGCTAGGTCTTTGCGTGAGCCGGGCCGCCTACTCCGACTAGCAAACCCGCCTTACTCCCTGACCGCCACCGATTAGGTCGGGGGGTCCCTTGCGCAGGTTATGAGTTGACAGCCTGTTAGGGTTGCACCCCTAAGTTCGTAGCTCGTTAGGGATGCATTTTATACCCCTGAATCATTTTTTGTCGTTTGGAAGTACCGGTCGTCCGTTCGGGTAAAAAAGGTGGTGAATTTGTTGGGGGGAAAATTGATGAGGAACCGACGGTTGTTGCTTGCAGAGGACCGATAACTGTCCGTAGGAGGTCGGGAGGTCAAGGTCCTGGAGTTCAACATTTCAAACTCGGAACGGTATTAGACCACATACACATTGTATTCGAATACAACGTGTGCGTTTTTTATTGATATTTTGAAGAAAAAAAAAACTTTGGTGTTCGAATAAAACATTTTTTTTTTCTTCTAAGGTTAGCGTCTGCCCTTGTCGTCCCTGCCACTAACATGATACATGTTGCAAGGCCCTCTCTCTCTCTCTCATACACACACACATACACACATACATACACACACAAACACATACACACACATACAGATACACACACACGCACACACACATTCTCACTAACTCACTTATTGTCACATAAATATGTGCACACACGCATTAAAACACTTTTTTTTTCCCCTTAAAAAAATTCGCTTCAACCCACTAGAGGAGATGATATGATCACCCCCCTATAGTGGACATATGACATAATGCTCATGTCTATTGGTGGGGAGCGGCCACAACTTGAAACTGGGTTCAA